TGTCCCGCAGGGGCCTCCCAGACTCCTCGCTTCTCCCCTGCCTCTGCCAGGGGCAGCTGGGAGGGGGAAGAAAACAGTCACTGCACCGTGCCTCAGTTTCCCCATCAGCTTTGGGGTGGCTGATCCCACCCCAGACCCCGGGCTAGCTTGCACTCCAGGTCCCTAAAGAGGTGGGACCCGGGGAAGAGAGACTTTGGGGTGGCAGTAGCTGGAGGCGAGCCCGAGCTGAGTCAGGACACCAGCAGCAAGGGGGATGCACAGCCCACCATCCTCTTCCTCCCTAGGGCCTGGACCCCCTCGCTCTCCCCAGCCTCAACCCCACACCCTCGGGACCCAGAGGGAAGGGGGCAGATGCCGGGAAGCAGAGAAAGTAACTTTAACAGCACTATTACTGGGACTTGCCCTTGTAGCAGGGTAGGTTTTCTTCTCCTGTAATAATTCAGTAATTCTCTGCCGAAACTGTTAAGGTTTCAGCTTGTTAAGGTGCACTTCCCTTTTGCCTATTTCCCTCTCAAAAAATCCACCCTGCACCAGGAGACACCCTCGCTTTGCAGTGGGGAGAAGCCAGGCCGGAGGGGCTCTTCCCCCACCTCCTGCCCTGCCGAGGCTGCAGGCGAGTTGGCAGGAGCCAGCAATTCACCCCAAAACCTTTCACGGCCTTCTGCCCCTGCCGTGCTCTGCATGGCTTTCTGCTGCCCGAGGAGATGCCCTGCAGACCCTCACAGCTCCGCTCCTTCTCAGAAGCGTGAGCACACCAGGTGACTCCCACCCAGCAGCGTATTTTACCAGCATGGTATGAATTTAATCGTGACATATATACAGGTGCTGCAAGGATTATCGCAACCGTTTCGTACAGACTTATCCACAAAACCTTACAGAGCGCTCAGGCAAGACCTCTGGCCTGGACAGGCAGAGACGCTGCGCAAAACTCAACTCTTCCTCACAAACTTCTCTCTCCAGAGAAGATTTCCAAGGAACAGCCCAGGAATTAGGCATAATTTAAAAGAAAATACGCTGTCGGGCTATTCTCATTTTGTGCTAAAGGCACGTATCACAGCCCATGGGCATGAGCTCACGTAGGCTGCAAGGACAGCCGAGCTCAGTCTTCATCATCTGTAGCTCTGTATTTAATGAGGAGCCACCAGATTTACTGCGAGGAGGTCTGCAAAGCAGCTGTGAGCTTGTCCAATTTACACCTCCCAATTGCAGAGGGATCTCCCGGCTTTGCTGACCATGGCCAGCGTGAAGAGAAGAGTTAAGCAGTCAGCAGCGTCGCGTTTGTGCATGTACCAGTGACATCGAGTTAATGGCAATCGTTTCCGAGTCACTCGGCTGCCAGGACAGCAGTGAGACAGCACAATTTGTTTTCTTTTCTTTAAATCTCGTTGGATTAAAAGCTACACCAAACCCTTCCCTAGAATAAACATCATTGTCTCTACAAAACTGAAAGTCCATTCTGCTTCCTTCCACCCACGTCCCTGGAAAAAAAAAAAAAAAAAAAAAATGTATGTGCAGACATACAGATCTTCTCCCTTCAGAAGTTGTCCATGGCACAGAGCTGGTCAGGCTGCTGGGAGAACCAACCAGGTTCTGAAGAAATGGAGTCAGAGTTCACTTTTGAGGGTTTTTTTTGGCATTCTTAGCGATGGTGACACATTAAGACATCTGAAACCACCTCACGATTGAGAAAGGAGAGAGACTTTATTTACATAAAGTCATCTGAATCATTGCCATCCTGTGGGAAGAAACACAAATCAGGATCATTGTGCACATTAAAATGGAAAATGGTGGAACGGTGCATTCAGCACGATTTCAGAATTGCCATTTCTTCTGGTTTCCTGCCCTTTCAGTACAAACACCATGAAATCAGACCAAACAGACGCACAACAGCAGCTCTGGAGCAGGAATAGCCCTGTGCAAGGCTCTGCGTTGTGATACAGCAGCTGCTCTTCACTGTCCCTGCAACGTTACCGCTTCCCTGCAACTGCAGCCCATCTGCTGCGACCCGGGAGGAACCAGAGACCGGGCTGTCACCAGCAGCTTTGTGGATCATTCCCGTATCACAACCCGAGCTTCTTTCCAACCCGGGAGAAGGAAAGCAGTCTGGCTTCATGGGGGGTCAGGTGCTGAGAGGAGGAGACCCCCTTGCACAGCATTTCCACTGCGCCTCTCCCTGGTAAGCGTCACTCATGGGGCACAGCCTGCCTGTGCATCAGGAGATGCTCATACTTCAACCCAGTTCAAGTTTCAAAGGGGATCTGCGTGCTAACCAGGAGGAAAAATCAAGAATTCTTGAAAACCACACACGCTCCTCTAAGCAGTTAGTCAGGGACTAGGATGCAAAAGGTGGATTTTAAACTAAGGGTCACTCAGAGGAGTTTGTCCAAGCTCCCACCAAGGAGGAAGCTGCAGATGCGCCAGACCTCAGGCAAAGCACTGGAGCTTCCAGTGCATGCCAGGACCTCTCCTGAACTTCAGCCCCCAGCCCTCCTGTGATCCACCTCCTCATTGCCCTCCTGCTGGTCTGTGCTCCTCTCCGCTTTGGCTCCTTTTCCACTGTCAGACTGCAGCCATGTTACACTGCTCCAGTCCTGGGGTGACACCAGCTTGCTCTCTGCAAGCACATCTCTTCAGGCTTCCACTTCTGCCCCCCAGCACCTAACTGTCCCTCCCCAAACTGTTGTCCACACACCTCCACTTTATTTCTCGTTAAAAATGTGCATCTACAGCTCTACCTGTTCTCTCAGTTGGGTGGGAAGGGGACTGGGAGGACTTCGCACACATTTCCAGCAGCACAGGCTCCTCCTGGCTGCCACACAAGCAACAGGGCCCTCTCAGAAAGCGGAGGGAAGCGGCAGCGTCCTTCACTGAGAAGGGGTGACGGAGATGTGCTCTGTCATGCAGGAGTCACCAAAACCAGACTGCAATGCGGGAGCCGTACCATCACGACCCCGCATTGAATTTCAGCCATCGCTGAAAGGTTTCTGTGGGCAATCTTACCTGATTGGAGGACATGTTCTCAGCCTTCATTAACGATGAGTAGCTCCTGGAAGAGAAATTACATTATCTTGCATGATACGTTTTCAAAACCCACCAACAGAGAGGCGTTGTGATAAAACAGGACCCAAGTATCAGAAAAACAATTTTTTTTTCCCTTCTGAACTCACGCAGGCTAGACAAGTATTTGCTTATCTCATCTCAAGTACCAGAAAAACAATTTTTTTTCCCTTCTGAACTCACACAGGCTAGACAAGTATTTGCTTATCTCATCCTCTTTGGTTAATCAAAACTGCCGGAGAAAGCTGAGGCGCTACGCAGACTGCTTCTCCACAGCTTTGTTCAGGAACCACCAGCTAGATCACCCCAGGAGGCAGAAAATCCTTTACTTTGGGGGATGGCCAAGAGGCAGCTCTGGGGCACGGTTAAATAAGCAGGCAGGCCCTTTACTCCGTGGCACAGACATGCCTGCTGGTGACTTCTCAGTTTAGTTTGTTTCTCTAAGCTCTCCTTTCTGAGCCCTACATGTGTTGAAACACTCAGGATATTACGGAGTTTTTCAAATTCTGCTTTCACTGTCATTTACAGATAAACACGACGTACTAAAGCTGAAAAGCGAGCTTTTGGGGCCAGCCAGCAGATAGGTCCAGTGCTGTACGGGGCCGACAGCACTAAGGAGCAAGGCTCACACATGCTGCGGCAGGGACAGAAAGGTCAGTATGACATTTCAAAACACCATGCCTCATTCTGCATTTAAAAGAGTGTGCAACTGAGGATTCGCATACATTTTATTTAACATCAGTGATGCAAGAGGAAGTTGAAGAACTCTAGCGAAGGTTCGGTGCTCTCCAGGGCTCGCGCAAAGCTGGAAGCAATTGCTTCCATCCCAATGACAGAGAGCGCCAAGCAGGTTGCCCAATTTCACCCAAGTTAGGGACAGGTTTCAAAAGACACAGTCCTTTCTTTTAACAATGGTTTAACACCCAGGTTTATTTTAGGAGAAATGGGGAAAAACGCATTTATTCTAAAGACAAAGGAAATCACTGGGCCATGCAGACGTCTAAGCCAGAGCAGGTCAGCTGAACACTGAGCAACACCAGGCCGACCATTAAACAGAAACTGCTGACCCATGACTCTCTCCCAGCACCGATGAAAACTGCAGGAGTCAGAAGTTGGCACTACAATTTATGACTTACCTAAGTTCTTCCAGCTCTTTCTTCTTCTTCATCTCTTCCTTTTCCTTCCGCTTCATCTCTTGGATCTGGGCTTTTTTCTCATTTCTCTCCTCTCTGTCCCGGGCTTCCTTCTCAGCAGCCAGGTCTGGGAAGCGCTCCACTTTTGTCTTCTCTAGCCGGTTCAGGATCTCATTCACCTTCTTCTCCACTGTCAGCATTTTCACCTTTGGAGTGCAAAGAACTATGATCCTTATAAAAAAATACTTTTATTCTGGCACTTTCTCAACGGAAAGAAAACACCCTATTTCCACTTTACACATGCCTGAATCCCACAAAAACAGATGCTAAGGAAAATCACTGCCACCGAGGGCTATTCAGCAGGTTGTGTAACACCAAAAAGAGGCCCACTCCCAACACTCAGAAGCACATAGCTAATAAGCATAAGCGTTGCTAAGTACACAAGCATTATTAATTTCATTTCTTGGCACATGCCTCAACAGAGAGACCAAGAGACAAGAATTGGTCTCTGCCAGTTCCTGAAGAGGTGGCAGGAGGTCTCTGCAAACCATTTTGGGAAGAGAAGCTCATGTGCTGCTTGTTGACTGCAGGGTTTTTTAGCATTTCTTGCCCTAGTACAGACCTGTTTCAGTCAAACAACTGCACCTCTAGAGAGCCTCCCCTCCCAGCAGCCAAGCTACACAACGACTATTTAAGCATAACATTATCTGCGGACACTAGGTCAGGCTTGGGAATAGCTTAGTACAGTGGCTTGACCCCAAAGATAAGTAGCTCTGCCTTTTAATAGGTTGAACAAATTCAGAGGTAGCACCAGGGTGAGACAGCTCTCGGAGCAGAGGCAGGAGAGTGAACACAGCGACAGACACCTCCAGGACCCCACACAGCCCTCCTCTGCACAGCAAGTTCAAGTCCCGAGCCCTTCCAGATGCGGGATTACACTACTGCCTCTGGGCTGATCCAAACTGACTGCTCATATGCGGGCTCTTCAGCTGTAGCAAGAGATGAATTCAGCGGAGATAAATTCAAACGGATAGCACAGACTAACACATGATACAGCAAAGACTCATCAGCTACGTTGTGCTGCAGACTGGAAACACACGCTGTGCAGGTTACACTCTGCTACAGGCTGACACTCAACCACAGATTTTCAGGTGATGTTCAGGCAAGTCCAAACATGCCCCTGGGATCTCTCTTAATGCTTCAAGAGTGGATGATTCCCTGGCTTTAGGGCAAATGCTGAAGATAATCCACCCAGCTCCTAAACGTTACAGTCTGCCACCAGGTCACCGTCACTGGCTTGCAGGAAACACTTACATCCTTTTGCCTGTGAAAGCCGATCTGCCCCACATCCATGTCCGCAGTCTTCTTCAGGTTAGTCCACGGTGTGTACACCACGTTGACGTTGTTCATCTTGCAACCTAGGAAGCAGAGGAGAAGGGAAACATTTCAATTCTCTCCCTGCTGAAAGAGGTCTTCAGTTCTTCCATGCACATGGAAACACTGGCAGTTATTCTTGTCACAAACATTACTAGCTAGGCAAGAAAGAAGAAAACGGAGAAGTCCTTCCAGCGTTACAGTGAAACGGAAGAACACCACGACATCATTTTCTGCAGTAACATGAGCGCTGCAGCAGCGTTAACGAACTCCAGATGGAGACCGTCTTTGCCAGAAGAGCGATTACTATGGAAGGGGGCCCCAAGGTGGTGTTAGAGAAGAGACTGCAAGGCATCCTTGGCTCAGACAGCAATTTAGAGGCACAAACAGGAATTTCAGAGATTTAAAATTCCTCCTTACAAAAATATAACGGGCAGCCCCAGTAGCTGGAGGTGACATCTGCTTCCTGTACGACCCCAGGCACATGCTTAACAGAGAGCACCACAGCAGAAACATCACAAACGTTTGATTCAAACCCCACATGCTCATGTGGACCAGAAACACTCACCACAAACACCTCGCACTGATCTCCCAGGAATCAGTATTACCTTGAATGCTATTCGCCTTCACTAGATGGGCACAGTCTATCAAAACTTCTTTAGGAATGTCATCCACCGTCTGCCCCTGTGACAGAGCAAGGCAATGTGAGCGGCGTGCGGCTGCAGGGGGCCACAGGGACTGATGGGCACACAGAAGCCAGGAAGCAGGGCACGATGCTCTGCAAACACAGCCGGGACCTCTACGCTCCGCGTTTTACAAGACTGGAGTCTTCCATGGCATTTCTAACGAGGGGCTCAAAGCACCGCAAGTGATTTGCGCCCTGCTTTTCTCAAAGGTATTCTCCTTCTTTTAGTGGGGTGATGGTTCCTAGACACACGCTTCTTGGCGTCAAGCCAGAAATCAACTGGTCTGTTGGACCACGTTAAAATTCCTGCTCCTCTCCATGGTATTTGGTAATGGAGGCTGTAAATTCGGTCTCCCCACACTGGGGGTTACCTGCACCCTTAGGGAGCCCAGCAGACTTTAATGGTTCATGTGAGCAAAGATGGTCTCGTGCGCAGGAATCACTGCAGAATGGGCGCGTGCAGTTCTTACATGGGTGAGTATTAATGTTTTTAAATATATGTGTCACAGGATTACCTTGTGTAACCGAAGGTACACATGCGCGGAAGAGAGTTTATCCACATGAAACCTACAGAATTAAAAAAAGCATATTTAACAGAGGATAAGAGATGGTTACCTGGTCTGAAAGATTTACTTCCTAACAAGTGACAAAACAGCCACTCCGTGGACAACAAAACTATAGAAATGTTGATGATACACATGTTTAAAAGCAGGCAAGGAAGTCAGAGCCTATCCTTCAAGAAATATCAGTCCTCTCAATGGGAGACTGAAAAAATAAAAACCCTTTCCCCTTTCCTTCTTTTCTTTTAAATGCTATATTACCTGCAGGCAACGCTCACAGATGAGCCTATGCATGCGGTGTTTTGGTCTGTCTATTTATTCTTAAGAGAAACAGCAAACTTGTGAACTCTGCAGCAGGCACTCCCAGTTACACCACTTACAGGACTGGTCTCAAGCTCAGAGAGAAAAAAAAAAAGGTCCCAGTTGCTCAGTAGAACGGTCCATGGAGCCCAGTGCTCTGCCTCCAACAGCAGCAAGAGGCGATGCTGCCCGGGAAGTGCCCAGGATCTGGTGGTTTCAGTGGGTACCAATCCCAGTAAGGGGCGAACACCAGTTCTGCATTCACTTCATTCACTGCCTCCAAGATTTCATAAGCCTCGACCAGCCCCCCCAGCCCTCTCCCCACCAGACTGAAGAGTGCTCTCCACTTCAGTCCCTCCGCACAGCACGACTCTTCATCTCCTTGATGGCTCCAGCTGCCCTTCTCCAGACCTTTTCTAACTTGACTGGTTTTTTTTACCATGATCACCTATTTTTTAAGTCTCTGTCCTGATCAACACTCATCCCAACCCTGCAAATCTCCAAGGACAGAGTTGGGGAACTGATCTCATGTCATCTCCCAACCCTTCTTAACACCATTTTCTTTTCATAACGGGACTTTTTCCTTCCTGTTGCAAGACAGAAAACCCTCAAGGACCAATACATGAACTCTCACTTGTACCTCCCGAGCCTCCTACCCCAATTCCACTGCACCACTCTTAAACAGAAGTGTAAAAGGTGCCAGACACCGTTAGGAGACCGATTTCCAGGTTTCCAGAAAAGGGTCTACGATATTTTGTTGAGATGGCAGTAGGATATGAAAAACACAACATGGATAATGTCAGTGTGAGTTACAAGAAAGAGATGGGGACAGATGACTTTCATGGTTCAGCCAATTTAAGGATGAATCTGAAGGTCACTCCTAAATAACAGTATAGACATACCTTAAATTATGTAGTGATAAGACAAACTTGAGACAGAAAATGAATGTGATACTGCTACAGCAACGTGTTAGTCAGCTGAAGTACAATCTCTTCTGCTAGAAAAGAAAAAACATTCCCCTGCCAGTCAGCTGACTGCTGACAAAACATCCTTATGGAGCGTGTTAGATATTACCTACTCAAGCTTCAAGACACCTCAGCTCCTCCTGGCAAAGGCCACCTCGAAGAGCGAGAAGGAGCACAAGGCACATGGTCATTCTTGTTAGAAACTGTCAGCAAAGGAGAGGGCAGCAACTGCGATACATCCAGTCTGTGCAATAGTGCCTGAAAGCGAGCTAACTCCTTCATAAACATCTCACAAACCTTATTAGTCTGGAAACTTTGATGATTAATCCAGCCAGCAAAGATGCCACCAACTGCTGCTAACAGGATTGGGAACTCCCCTTCTCTTGGATTTCTCTTCTGAGGAGATCTTAGGAACCAAAACCAACCCACACATGTCAGAGCGCTTCCTTCTGCCCGCCTGGCCACAGCTCTAGCGGGTCTGCTCAGAGCAGACACAGCTTTCACCCAGCCGGAATCCTAATATCAACACCCCCTGCTCCTGCTC